CAACTTTCCAGGGACAATGCCGGTTTTGGAGAGCTTTTGGTGACGACGGCGAAAATGAGGAGTCAGTGATGCTGACTGAATTAATAATTGCATAAATATAACAGAAATAACTACAGAAACCAGTGTTGCATCTCCAGGTCAGAAAGACCAATGCAAATGTGGGTTCCCAAGTTCAAATTTATTTGTTATTAAACGATATCCACAATAATTTTATTTTGACACATGTTTTCTTGAATTATAAAAATAAAACTTGAATCAGATCGTATTTGATGCGTTTAGTTGTGAAATGTGGCGATGATGTTGATCAAAACTATGCAAACTGGAGCTTAGCCGAATGACTGTTTACCGGTACTAACTAACTCATTCGTTAATTTTTCATTTGCTATTCAGTAACTGTGTTTATCTTCGAAATCACTTTGGGGTTCTAACATATTCACATTTCGACACTATTTTATTGAGGAAATGCCAAATACCAATATAATACTAAATCTAAGTTATTTAGTGATGTTTGTAGGTTTTTGCCTGGCACAGATTTTTGCAGTAATTTTGACATTTAATAAAAAAAAATAATGCCCTTGCAATGAAATACTACGACTAAACATCGACAGGGAGTGTTTTGTGCGCACGAGCATAATACAGATTATTGCAAGTTTAGACTGATTTTATGTAACGATTTTTAAATTACCCAAATTTGACGTTTTCGCAGAAATACGTTCGAGAGCGGGTAATTAATTTTTGGCGGGTAATTTATTTTAGAGGACTAAAGCTGTAGGTCTGTGGCATGTTTTTTATCGGTTAAAAGAACCTATTGGTTTGCCGATCCTACACGAAATCAGTCGGTCTCGAACCGACGGACCGGCGACAATTTCCGACACTCTAACTTTTAACATTGTTGTTTGATACTGTACGTTAGGGATAAAATTGGTTTATGATTTATCGTAAACTAAATGGTTGTGCTGGTTTCTCAGCACGCCCAACAGTATTCGTTCGATGAAAAAATATTCGTTTTAGAAAATTGTTATCAAGCGGACTCTAAACTGTGTGTTGCAAGAATGGTATTTTTAGTTCATCATTAAAGCGGGAGGGTCGTCACCTGCGCACGCGCGGGAATTGAGTCCCAAGCGACGATAACAACACACGCTAAAAGCGGGTAGACGCTTGTTTGTAAACAATGACACCATTGACGCTGCGGGTCGGCGTCTTTTACACGTCTGTGCTGGGACAGCGCTTTCTGTGACGACACAACGCAATGACACGCTATGGCCATCTGACGCATGCGCAGGTGACGACTCCCCCACGTTCACGTCCACATTGCATCTCTAATGTATCGATATAAGGATTTCAATTATACAGTCGATTCATAAATTATTCAAATTATTTTATGTTGTACGTATGTAATCAACTAACACACGGAGAATTCCTGACATCTACATTTTCATGTCATATTAGGATTGTTTATTTTTGTATTTTCACTTTTACTTTCTACACTAGTATGTGCATAACAAGAAAAAAAACAAATATAGAACTGTGAGGGAAGTGTAGTCTTAGTAATGGCGGTAGTTTAAAAGTAGTTATTTGGAATATTCATAGTGTAGGGAATAAGTGTAGTGATTTAGATTTTTCCTCATTTATTTCAAGATTTGATATTACTTGTTTACAAGTGACATGGCTAAAGGAAAGGAATAAAATTACTTCAGATGGCTATAGTTATTTAAGGAGTGACAGAAAAAAGAACAGTAAATTTGGTGGAGTTGCTATCCTCTTCAAAGGTCAACTAAAAAAATATATTTCAAAATTTGAAGTTAAATCTGGTGATTACTTATGGTGTAAAAGAGTATTTAATAGTGATTTAGATCTTTATATATGTTCTGTTTAAATTCCTCCAGAAAACTCAGTCATTCATAACAGACAAGACTATTTTAATGTGCGTACTGAGACCTTACCAGATCATATAATTAATGATAATAGTACCTATATGCCAATGCCAATGTTGATGATGAGTATAAAAAGTAGGAACAATAAAGATCAGAAAGTCAATAGTTTTGGTAAAAAAATTGTTAGAATTGAATAAAAATAACAATCTATTAATTCTGAATGGTCGAACACCGGGAGATTTATTAGGTAAATTTACATGCTATAATTTTGCTGGGGGTGCCAGTACAGTAGACTACGCCTTAGTATTCAAATCTTTCCTTTCAAATATCCAATATTTCAAAGTAAATGAGATTAATAATTTATTTGATCATTGTGCCATTTCACTAGCAATAACTAAAAGGGATTTACTGTCATCAGATAACAATGAAATTAAATGTACACCTTTACCAGATAGATATTTATGGGATACTACGCCGATTAACAGATTCCAGGATGCACTCCACAGCACAGAAATAATTAATTAGCTGGTATCATTTAATTATGAAAACAATAACATCGATAGTTCTGTAACTGAACTTACAAACATTATTTGTACTGCTGCTGATAATTCACTGAAAACAATTAAACACAAGATGTCAGGTAACAACAAAATGAAGAAAAAAACACAAAAAAGACAGGTCCTGAATTGGTTTGGTGATGATTGTTAGAATTTGAGAAAGAAATTCAAAGAAGCTGCCAAATTATGTGGAGAAATACCCCAAAGACTGCCATATACGTGTCCAATTTATGGTACTAAGAAAGAAATAGAATAAAATCTTAAAAATTAAGAGAAAACAATATAAGCAAAATTTATGGGATTCAGTTACATCGCAAGAAAGTAACCCAAAACAGTATTGGAAAAATTTCAAAATCTTTTCAAAGAATGATACTAGTCCAATCAATGACATAATCCAAGCAGATGAGTGGTACAACCACTTTACAAATCTAAATAACTTAAAAAATAGTAAAACCTGTGAATATGACAGTGATTTTCAAAGTAAAATAATTAATGAAACTAGGGAGATGGAAAATAATAAAGAGAATAATAAAGAATAAAAAATAAGTAAAAGCTGTAGTCAAGAAATTAAAATTAAACAAGTCTTCTGGCGAAGACAAAATAACTAATCAAGCATGGCCAGAACTATCGTATAGAACCAATTACTGTTGTTTTTAATAATGTTTTAAAATCAGGAACATTTCCTAAGGGGTGGAAAGGGAGCATTATTGTATTTAATACACAAAAAGGGATCATGATCACACCCAGACAATTTCAGGGGAGTCCAGTAGCTTGGGTAAGCTATTCACTGCCACACTAAATCAGAGATTAATAAAATAATTTATACTCTCCTTATCAATTCGGTTTTCGTAGAAATAGACGGACGACAGATTGTTTATTTATTCTAAAATCTATAGTAGATAAGTATATTCACTCAAAAAGTAAAAAAAATTGTATGCATGCTTCGTAGACTATAAAAAGGCATTCGATAGCATGTGGCGTGATGAATTATATTGGAAATTGAAAAAATATGGTATCATTGGAAATATTTACAACCTCATAAAAAATATGTATAGTGGAGTATCCTACGATGTAAAAACAAATATGAGGGTAAAACAAGGCTGTAATATAAGTCAAACTTTATTTAGTTTATTCATTAATGACATGCCGGAAAACAATCTGCAAATGGCACCCCCCCTGAATTAAACAGCCAAAAACTAAACTGCATTTTGTTTGCAGATGATGTCCTAATCGTATCACAGACCCAGGAAGCTATGCAGTGCAGCATAGATGCACTGACAAAATACACTAAACACTATATCCAACAGTGTGTCCGGTTCTTAATTTAGTTACGTGTGTTTATACGCATGGTAAATCCAAATACGGAATGTCTGAAAAAGTAAGCGTGGTCAGTGCTCAAGTTGCCAACTTCATGGGCGGTATGGTGGGCGTGGTTAGTGTTTGTTTAAAAACTGTCCCTTTGTTGAAGGATTGTGGTACAACCGTGACTAAATTTGTATGTGAGAAAGTGTGCGTAGTCAGTGCTTCGGTGCGTAACACTATCACGGTGTACGAGAATGTGGACATGTACTAAGCATAACTGCCGTATGCGAGAAGATAGGCGTGGTCAGTGTTTAAATAGCTTTATGTTTGAGAAAGTGGGCGTCGTCAGTACGCTGTGGTCACTCCATCTCTGAAAGTGGCAAACTAAATTTTAAGAAACACAAAGCAGTGGATTACAAATTTATTTATATATTCCTTGCATAAACAATTATTTATTTTTCTGTTAGTTTAGTTGATCTATTTTTTTTAAGTATTCGAAATGTCGGCATATGTCGGATTCGTGTACAATTCCACCTTGCAGTGTTTAAAGTGTTGTGCTTTGTGGTAATTTTATGTCTCCGGTCATTGATGGCGTGCTAAATAAATGTGTTTCAATAATATGAGTGTATGCATTATTTAAAATATGATTTAATACACAGGGCACACTGGTGTCGTCAACCATTTATTATACAGAATGAACATTTTATATAAATTATTATTTTGGGCTACTGTTTTTTTTAGATGAAATCATTCACAGCGCACGCGTGAAAATGAAGCCCACTTACTAGGGAAATGGGTCATTCAACGCGTTTGTCCCCTAGATGAACTTAGTGGAAACCATCACGCACACGGTGCATGTAAATAACAACGCTATTTCAGTGAGAGTGTAGATCACAGGTGAATGGCGAATGGAGTTGTTGCGAATGATTGAAAGGAACTGTACTCATTCGATCCTATTTTTGTTAACACAGCAATGCCGCGAGGATGTGTTTAGTTGCGTAATTAAAACGTCTGCGGTGATAGTGATTTGCATAAGTTGGTCAGGTCAAATCGAGACGAGATGACGTTTACGAGAGGTAGGTTAGGGTCACCCTGAACTAGAGCTGTTTGGCGGACTAATCTGTTGAGTTTTACTGTTGAAATCAAATTCTATAAAAACGCACGTTCTTGTGAACTGCACTGTTTTTTTTGAAATTTTGCCATGTACGTCGAGGTTGAATCGATAACATATCATCTGGTATTTTAAAAACTAGTGATATCAATAACTGCGTATATACGCTTGGCGGATTAATACATCGTATTGAGTTCTCCGGCTTGTTTGTTACACTCCCACACTCCATGTAGAAGACCGTATGAGCTAAGAACAGCGTTCGCATTTCAATCACCGTGCCTTAGATATGAACTCTAGTTTGAATCAGGTGGAATTGCTGCTATTTTGATTTTTTTCGATCAGTTGGACACCAAGGTTTGTACAAATATAATTTATAACTGAACGGGCGACTTCGCGAATTGGCAAAAGTGTACCACGTACAGTACAATGACCGCGCATATGATGCTAGCATGGTCGAGGTACGAGGGTTGATTACGTAAAATATGCACGAATTATGTATATTATACACGAGTGCAAGAACCAATTGTTCAACAATTTTGGTTTCTCCACAGGGAGCCAATGTAATAGCAGTGTTTGTCATAGTTGTGTTTTAGTTCATCTTTGAATTGAATTTCACGTGTACCTCGACTTGAACGCACTGTGTGTATGGTTCGTCCAGGGTCACGATCCAGGGTCAACGTTGTTTATAATTTCTTTAAACTGTACACAGGTCATTTCAAGGTTGATCACACAAGTTTTACTTCATCAGACATTATATCAGACCTTGATTGTTGAATATACATCTTTTATTTAATTAAGTACAAATATTATATTACTGTTTTACAGTAATTATTGTTTTTCAATGATGTTGCCTCTTATTGTCAGCTTTTTTTGAAGTGTTCATCAAGCATGTGGCCACCATGTTCATGCAGTGGCAAATTTCTTGTGAAACCTCCATTTAAAAAATATCTGTGCAAGCCTTCATATATTTTGTAATTTTGGATAACTTCACTTCCATGTGGGTGGTTTTTGGTAAGACATCATAAATTCTTGGTCAGAATAACAGACATATGGTTTTGATGGATGATTACTACTGGAACCAAATTAGTGATGGTTTAATAGCTCTAATTTTGCCCATTTTCATCATTTTACAATAAAATAAATAAACCATTGAGCTTCAGCTAGTTTTCCACTATACAAAGATTGCTTCCGCTCACAGAAGCACATGTACAGTTTTATTTGAACACCCAATGCTAAAACTATGGCACACATAAAATAACTTTCAATATTGAATCTGTGTAGTAGCGTACTATAAAATACTATATTTTTAGCTGGAATTATTTTTTGCTGAAAAGACTTTTTGGATGTTTTGTATGGAATTTAAAGTTGAATGTAAAATATAGGAAAAAAAGTATATTCAGTGAATCAATCCATCAACGAAAATAGTATAGTATTTTACAGTAAATTTCATCGAGATGTTTTAAGGCTACTGGGGCAATTCAGTTTGCAAATGAGTCTATTCTAGCCATTCCAAATATAAATATGTATATTTACCCTGTTTTTTTTACTGTCACTCAAAAGTGTAATATTATACTCTCTGAAGTTTATAATATTTCCTGCTGTAACTGTAGTTTTGCACTTTTAACTAATATTTCTTCGATAATTTCGACCAAATGTACATAATTTCTCATTGGGTACACGTCTTAATAAAAATATTTGAAACAATATAGAAACAATTACTGTATTATAACAATATACTGTAACATTTCTAAAAGACAAGCATATAAACCCAAAATTGCATTCATTACATACTGAATTATTAAAATATAACTATTTTTGACCATATAAACACTGTAATTTACATAAGCGCATTTACTACAATTAGAGCAAATACTGTGTGTAAGATTATTTTGTGAAAATTGACTTGACAAAAGGTAAACATCTGAATTTCATTTTTTTCATTCTGTACAGTGTGAGTTGTCAAAGAGGGCATAAATAAAATAATCCTTGTCAATTCTGTCTGGCATTTCTCTTAATGTATGGTAATAATAATGTTCTATGTTATGTTACTGATTTGTAATTTCCCCAATATATGCATAAATAATTGTTTATAATTGAAATATTAATATTTTTTTTCTGCAGGTGACCATCTTGTAAATACCACACTATTCAACATGTCCATTTAATGCTATCATGAACGACTTTGCACCTGAAGGTTTTACTCAAAGCAACAACCAAATGTCTGGCAATAATGAAGTACCTACATTAATTTATAAGACGCAACCATCACAAAAACCTGTAAAGATTGCTAGTTTGAAACACAGACTCTTAGAGCGTGCGAGCATTGACGATGACTTACAGCCTTCAGAATGGACAGTGACTCCCCCACCACAGCCTTCAACATCAGCGCAGATGCCCTCAGTGGCACCACCACCACCACCGCCGACATCGCTACCACTATCAGAACCATCGCCATTCATTGCCGAATATCAGCCCTTGAGCTCAACAATAAACAGCGATACACAAATGAAAAACATTTCTACCCTATTCATCAGTGATGTTAGAAAGCCACAAATGCCATGTGCTTCGAAACAGGAAATAGATGTATTTGGTAGCCTGCCACAAGGGGATAGAAAGCAGTTAGTTCATATGGCGCCATTAGTTACTGCATACCAACCAATGGGTGAAGAGTACACTCAGTAAGTATGATTTCATATCTTGTTGACATTACACTACAGAACACAAGGGATATCAAATGCGTCATCTGTGATACCATATCATATCATATCATATCAGCAGAGCTGTTCATATTACTGATTGTCCGGCGTCGTCAACTTTCCAATTTCAACTCTCTCAAATTTGATATGCAAGTACCTTGGATGGTTCTTTCTCAGATTTGTTCATTTCATGTCAAAATCTCAAATTCTCTATTTTTGGTGAATATTTTTCTGATTTTTGGTAAAAAGTGATATTTTCGACTTCTTGTTAAAAACCGCAAGTCCAATTGCTTTGATATTACATATATATGTACTACATGTGGACCTCTCTCAGATTTGTTCATTTCGTGATGATATCTGTAATCTGTAATTCTCTAATTTTGATAAATATTGTTGTCATTTTTAGTAAAAAGTTATATTTTCGACTTCTTGTTAAAAAACGTAAGTCTGATTACTTTGATATTACATATATAGGTACTATATGTGGACCTCTCTCAGATTTGTTAATTTCGTGATGATATCTTCAATTCTCTAATTTTGATGAATATTTTGATGATTTTTGGTAAAAAGTTCAAACAGCTAGTCCGATTGCATTGATATTATACATATTGTTCATTTTCTAATGATATCTTCAGTTTTTAATTGAAATGTGCATTGCTAGCAGCGGAGCTATTAATCCAATGTCAAAAGATTTGCATTGTATTTCATCAAAATCGTAATTGATGTGCGTGTGCATCTCATTTAATTTGCATACAGGAATGTCATTTCAAATTTTTGGAAACTTTAATTTATTTCCAGTTACCACAGACATATTTTAACTAAATGTTGAAGTCATCTGCCTTCCCACATCTCATGAATGATCAGCAATTGGAGACACAAATTCCGTGTGCTACTTGCAGACAAAATTGGTGTCATTGTCATTGTCTGTGTCATTGTAGATGAATGTATATGAGGAGAAAATGTCTGTCCTCGTTGTCTCCTGCATATAATTTTATCGTTCGGTTACAATAACTCAAACAGTTTTTATCTGATCTTTTTCAAACTTGGATATTATATTAACCATTTTGTGTTCTTGGCCAAGTTTGGTACGAGTTCTATGTATATTTTTAGCTCTGCTGTCTACTTTGTCGGTCAATGTCCATCATCTGCGTCAACATTTTACTTTTTCGACTTCTTCTTGAAAACTACAAGCCTTGATACTTGATGTATATATGTACCTTGGGTAGACCTCTTGTAGATTTGTTCATTTTGATGGATATTTTTGTTATTTTTGGTCTGATTGCTTTGATATTATATATATGGGTACTACATGTGGACCTTTCTCAGATTTGTTTATTTTGTTATAATATCTTCAATTTTGATGACTATTTTTGTCATTTTTGTCAAACAATTTTATTTTTGACTTCTTGTTAAAAAGAGTGTCTGATTGCTTTTATGTTATACATGTAGGTGCCTCAGGTAGACCTCTCTCAGATTTCAGTTCTTTAATTGAAATGTGCATTGTCTTTTTTTTATAAAAATTCATTGAAATCAAGCATTTCTGCTATTCTGGAGCCGGATCTCGATTGTTTATGAATGGATTTCATTTAAACTTGGTACTTACATTACATGTAATGAGACGATCATTTTTTGGCTGACTGGTGACCATTTTTAAAAAAACAAATATGGTTTTATGGCAATATCTCTTTACATGCCTTGACCAATAACATTCAAACTCAAACAAACATGTTGCACATAAACTTGTGAATTTGCTTGACGATCAGATCTAAGATGGCCAAGTGGCAGCCATTGTAATATTACCAATTCAACAAAATCAAGCATTAAAAATGCATCAAAATGAAGAATTGTTTTCATTCCAGAACCAGAACTCGGTCCTGCATCAATTGATTTTGTTTTAAACTTGGTACATACAAAAAAACCAATGGGAGTTTGATGCACTGTTTGGGTTTTCAGATCAGATTTAAAATGACTGCAGATGCTGTTGTAGAGCCATGTCTCTAACATACTTTATTGACTGATCGCAATCAAACTTTTACATCATGTAATTTATTTCATGTTCTGATTCAAAATGGCTGACTCATTTCAGCTTTGTTTACTATTTAACTAACAAGGACTCATGTCATGTCTTTCAACTTTACGCAAAGACCAGATATAATTATTTCATCAGGGAAAGCATAGTATAATTTCTCTGTTTTCACATCTTTTGACCTCCATAAACATCCAAATACAACTAATATGCCTAAAGGACTTTGAAATTATTCAATTTTTATAGGTTTTACCTATAAATAGAATAAAAACCTTGTATTTATGCTGTGTGTTAAAATAAACAACTAGTGAATATTGATTTTTTTACCATTACTGGATATGTTCGATGCAATCTTCATTTTTATTTTTACCAATGATGAATACTTCACTATTTCTATTCAATTTCATTTCACTCTGGTTTTATTTGGTGACATGCGATGGAGATCCCACGATTGAAAAAAAAAAAAATGTTGATGAAAGAATGTTCATTGCTAGTCTGTGTAAGAATTAGTTATTGTTTGTCTCCATGGCGATGAACAAGAATCCATGACATATTTATTGGTAAAAAACTTGATTTTCATGCAGATAAAACTCGTCAGAATGAACTTGTGACTATATATAACCCCTGGTACATGATTGCCTGCCCCTATCTCTTTATCCAGCTTTGGTACAAAGCATTTGTGACATATAAGCATTTATGGGTTTACTCATTCAGTGGATCAACATGGATTAAAATTTTGTTATAAGAAATGCAAGCTTGCTGTTATCTTTTCCATTCTCTTAACCAATTTATCTTCTTTAGATTAGTTTATTACTATGAGTAGTGTGGTTATTACAAATATATGTATAAGAATATGAGTGGGTAGATCTAGTCATCTGGTTTGTAATTAGTTTGGAAACTAGGTTTCCTTGACCTCAAGGGGTGAAACAAAGTTCATATCTATGCCGAACATGATAACTGCCATATTTTAAAAAGGAAACAAAACTGTTTTTTTTTTTTCATTCATAATTTTAGAAAAGTTAAAGAGAATCTAATTGTTATGAAAAATAATAAATTTAATGACAATTTCAGAATAAAAATAAAAAGTTGTCAATGCATGTCAATAAATAAAGTTGATATTAGCCATATTTTTTATGTCGTCTGTAGTTCATCTAAGGGTCTGAATTATGCAGGAGTCTGGCTGTAATGTACATTTCATGCTTTAGCCATCTCAGTGACTGTTAAGCCATCTCAGTGACTGCTTTAGCCATCTCAGTGACGACTTTAGCCAACTCAGTGACTGCTTTAGCCATCTCAGTAACGACTTTAGCCATCTCAGTGACTGCTTTAGCCATCTCAGTGACAACTTTAGCCAACTCAGCGACTGCTTTAGCCATCTCAGTACCTGCTATGGCCATCTCAGTGACTGCTTTAGCCATATCAGTGACTGCTTTAGCCATTTCAGTCACTGCTTTAGCCATCTCAGTGACGACTTTAGCCATCTCAGTGACTGCTTTAACCATATCAGTGACTGCTTTAGCCATTTCAGTCACTGCTTTAGCCATCTCAGTGACGACTTTAGCCATCTCAGTGACTGCTTTAGCCAACTCAGTGACTGCTTTAACCATCTCAGTGACTGTTAAGCCATCTCAGTGACTGCTTTAGCCATCTCAGTGACTGCTTTAGCCATCTCAGTGACTGCTTTAGCCATCTCAGTGACTGCTTTAGCCATCTCAGTGACTGCTTTAGCCATCTCAGTGACTGCTTTAGCCATATCAGTGACTGCTTTAGCCATCTCAGTGACTGCTTTAGCCATCTCAGTGACGACTTTAGCCATCTCAGTGCCTGCTTTAGCCATCTCAGTAACGATTTTAGCCATCTCAGTGACGCCTTTAGCCATCTGTGCCTGCTTTAGCCATCTCAGTGACAGCTTTAGCCATCTCAGTGACTGCTTCAGCCATCTCAGTGACTGCTTTAACCATCTCAGTGACTGCTTTAGCCATCTCAGTGACTGCTTTAGCCATCTCAGTGACTGCTTCAGCCATCTCAGTGACTGCTTTAGCCATCTCAGTGACTGCTTTAGCCATCTCAGTGATGACTTTAGCCATCTCAGTGACTGCTTTAGCCATCTCAGTGACGACTTTAGCCATCTCAGTGACGAATTTAGCCATCTCAGTGACAGCTTTAGCCATCTCAGTGACTGCTTCAGCCATCTCAGTGACTGCTTTAACCATCTCAGTGACTGCTTTAGCCATCTCGGTGACGATTTTAGCCATCTCAGTGCCTGCTTTAGCCATCTCAGTGACTGCTTTAGCCATCTCAGTGACGACTTTAGCCAACTCAGTGACTGCTTTAGCCAACTCGGTGACTGCTTTAGCCATCTCAGTGACTGCTTTAGCCATCTCAGTGACTGCTTCAGCCATCTTAGTGACAGCTTTAGCCATCTCAGTGACTGCTTTAACCATCTCAGTGACTGCTTTAACCATCTCAGTAACAATTTTAGCCATTTCAGTGACTGTTTTAGCCATCTCAGTGACTGCTTCAGCCATCTTAGTGACAGCTTTAGCCATCTCAGTGACTGCTTTAGCCATCTCAGTGACTGCTTTAGCCATCTCAGTGACGACTTTAGCCATCTCAGTGACTGCTTTAGCCATCTCAGTGACGACTTTAGCCATCTCAGTGACGACTTTAGCCATCTCAGTGACAGCTTTAGCCATCTCAGTGACTGCTTCAGCCATCTCAGTGACTGCTTTAACCATCTCAGTGACGATTTTAGCCATCTCAGTGCCTGCTTTAGCCATTTCAGTGACAGCTTTAGCCATCTCAGTAACGACTTTAGCCATCTCAGTGACTGCTTTAACCATCTCAGTGACTGCTTTAACCATCTCAGTGACTGCTTTAGCCATCTCAGTGACTGCTTCAGCCATCTCAGTGACTGCTTTAACCATCTCAGTGACTGCTTTAGCCATCTCAGTGA